AAAATTTATATTTTAAACTTTAGAGTAAAATACTTTAAACATTACAAAAATAACTTAAACATTATTACAAGATAGAACTAAAGTGTTTAGCAAAGCATTCTACCAACCAGGCTACCAGGAGAGTCACTAGAGGAAAAGAATCTAATTGTGAAAACTAGAAGCAGATCATAGCCTTTTCAAGCCATCTTGATTGGTAGTTTAGAAAAATTCAGAAAGTACAGTATAGTCTGTAAAGTGGGTACTGAGGTCTGGATGAACTCTACAAGTACAGAAGTAGGTAATAGTAGCAACTTCGGTTCGCAAGTACTTGTTTTTGAACTTAGTATAAGTTACTGAAGTCTAGATTAGCTAGATTGTGGGTACAGAAAGCTCTAGCAGATTTATCTCGAAGATAAAAGGCTTTTAATGGTAGTAGCCTGTTTTAAAGTCCTAAGCTGAGTGTCTAAAAATAAGAGATCCAAACTAGATTTTTGTTTAGTTAAAATAGATTAACTCCATAGATGCAGAAGAAACAGGAGCGACCATCAAGATTACACAAAATGCAGATCGCTTCCAAAATCTTCCTAACCAAATTTAATATCACATGATTATTAGCTAATCACAGTTAATAAAAAAATTTTTTTGTGTGATTTTTGTACTTTTTGTTTTTTTTTTTGTTTTTTTTTTATTATTATTTTTTTTTTTACAGTTTATAGAATAACCTTATTGGTCGGGGTTTTCTTTTATTAAAGTATCTGCAGTCTGTATTTACGGAAGGGTTTACAGTAATATATCAACGAGGGTACAATAAGCCACACGTACAACTTTAGTCATTGTCTGTTTAAAGGTTCCGCCCATGGGTTCCCCACTTATTGCTATACCTGAGACCTGCTTGTAGGTCCCCTAATTAAACTCTCTGATTTTCAATATTATTCTGATCACATGAACTTTTAATTAAGGTTTTAATCTGACCTTTGGGCTATTTTACCTGTGAGATAGATTCTACCAAAGGAGGTGGTTTTCTACAGCCACATCTTATCCGGATTTTTTGCGCCAGAGGTGATTCCATATTAGGTAAGGCCAATCTTTTTCACAAACGTTGACGACATTCTCCACATTTCTCACTATAGTAGTGCCTACGCTCTGCCGTACCGGTTTCCTTCCAAGAATTCCTTAAACCAAAGATATACCTTCACTTGGACTTCCACAGGGCTTTGTATGCGATAATAGGCTTCTTTTTAGATTACAGAGTATTTTACCTCCAGCCAAACTCGAACCATCGACCTTGTCTGTAGGGACGGGAGCTTATCCATTAAGCTATGGGACCTGAACCCTGATTTTTGTACTTTTTGAAAAGCTTGCGCAACCTATTTTTAAAATGAAATGTGAAATATACTAAGCAAGCTTTAAAGTATTCATACCAAACTTTAATAATATCATTTGAATCCACTTAAATCCAACAACTTTTTCAAGAATCGGATAGAGTGCATCTATTAATTCCATTCTAAAATCTAAAGCTAAAATTCGGGATATGTTTGCAATTCCTTCCAACACAAGACAATTTATTAGAATATGGTAGTTCTGAGATTCAATGATTGAGCTTGTTGATGACGACATATTTGTTCTTTCATTAGCTTTGTGTTTATCCAATTTCACTAAAGCTGTAGAATCAGGATCATTTGCTGGTATATCTGATTCGATATATTCATGTAACACGAATTTTGATATTCGTTTAGCATTTTGTGACGTATTTGTTGGATCAGTAGCGGTCAAATATTTTAAACGTGAGTTTGGTCCCATATCTATACTAGCGGCACCCAACAAAATCTCATTAATCGCAAACAAACATTGTGCGTGAAATCGTCTAGAACCCGGGTCTCTGACATAAGTAAGAAAATGTTCGATCAAGAACGTAACATTTCCAAAATACCCGAATAACCGAATTATAATTGATATAGAGGATGCTACACGTTGCTCACGTATATATTTAAAATGTAAACGCGGAAATGACAATATTGTACGATCTGATTCATGTGAATCATTTGGCGACACGGATAACACGTCATAATGTCCAACTAATAGCCTATTTTCCATTATTTGTGCACCTTCGGTATCAAATTCCAAAGAACCAAGCAATCCATCTGAAACTCTTTGTAATGACATATTAAGTACAGTCTGTACTTCTGGTCCCAACAGAGAAACAAAACCTGCTATTAATGATAATGCATTATATTTTGCATTTTCATCTAGTCCGATAATGTACCTTGGTAATGATGTAAACCAAGAATTGAAATTTTCTTTAAGTATCGGTGTCAAATTTTCCCTAAAATCAGGATGCATTCGTAATGATTCCATATGTTGTTTACAAGGTATTGAAACTTGCTCATAATCAT